GAAGGCTGAGAACCACTGCTCTGAACATTCACTCACAGAACATCCTCACACTCAGCATTAAATTGCTACAGCTATTCAATTCTCCTTTTCACTTGAAAATGTTTTCTTTGCTTTCCTAAAATGATACACATTCACACATTTCACTACATGCTATTTTAATTTACAGCCCTTTTTGCTTAGAAGTCATGCTTTCTATTCCCACAAACCCTGCTCGACGCCGTTAACGGAACAAACCTCCCTGCAGATCTTCTGTGAGTCAATCCTCCTCACTGGAACTCACAATAAGAACTTCTCTTTGAAAGACGGACACAGGGTCAGACACTTCTAAGGGGTGTCTGGAGGGAGCTCATGTTTCTGTCTGAAATTGCCTTTTCTTGGGCTAGCTCAAAATACACACGGAAGATTATTTACACCACACTAAACTTTCTTACATGTTCTATGCTGTTTGTATTTTAAAACTGTCTTATTGTGAATATACAAAGAATATAGATGTGACAATTTAAACATGTTCACCCACGGCCCTGAGCTTGAGCAAAAGACACGCTTTGGGTTCTCTCACCAAGAAGACAGAAATAGTCAGCTGCATCCATTACCTTTGTTCCAAGCTGCCCTAAAATCTTCATCATGCACCTCAAATTACCATTGTCATTAATAATACTCTCATATCCTTACTAATGGCACCAGAAAAGGTGACAGAGACAGAAACCTGAACTCCAAGAAGGAAGCCAATCTCCTAACCCACACTGCATTTTAAGGCGATAGTGTCTTCCTTTGGCATTGATAGTACAGAATTTAAAGATGCTTAGGAACCCTCCCTATCTAATATCTTAAGGTCATTTTTTTTTTTTTGTAAATATACATGTTTACTCCTGCTTGAAAAAAATTAGAGAATTAGAAATGACAGCATACCCAGCTTTGGTATATGAATCCAAGTATTTGAGTTATAATCCTGGTCAGAAATTATCCAGTAAGAGCCAAGTTAGTTCAACACCATGCATGAGCTTTGCTAGATTAAAAAAAAAAAGATATTTGGGTAGAAATATCTAAATTTGGTTGCTATGTTTTTCCAGTTTGCTCAGGTCATAGATGGGAGCAGGTTTCTTTTGTATAGAGCATACTGTACGAGCCTCGCAGCTCCGTGGGAGCCACTAGGCTGCCAGAGACACTCGGAAGGGGGCAGATCACCCTTTCTGTTACCGTGACGTTCTGGGTGAGATGTGGGTCAAAGGTGGCAGCGGTGGGCTGCACGAAGGAGCCTGAAGTTGCGTGAGTTTCTGTGAGCAAGTAGTTACCAAGCTGTAGAGGGTCAGGGATGGCAATGGCAGGGAGGACAGACCCGGAAGGGGACAAAACAGAAGAAACTTGACTGCCAGGCAAAGTCTGGTACCTTTGAGAACCTGACTGAGGGACCTCCAGACTGCCAGACAGAGTTTGGTGCCTGCTAGAACCTGATTGAGGGACCTGCAGACTGCCAGGCAGAGTCTGGTACCTTTGAGAACTCGACTGAGGGACCTCCAGACTGCCAGGCAGAGTTTGGTACCTTTGAGAACCCGATTGAGGGACCTCCACACTACCAGGTACAGTTTGGTACCTGCTAGAACCTGACTGAGGGACTTCGGTAGAGCGAGCACAGACGTCTGCCCCAGAAGCCCTGTCTTTAGGGCCTGGCCTTGCCTGCTTGGCTTCATCATCAATACCCAGACATATCTCTGCAAGCTTTTTAAATTTGGGGCCAAGGGAATCCAAGAAGCTGTCATCCAGGTCATCGGCAATAAAGCTGCAGGAGCTGAGTGAACAGGGGGCAGCATCCTCGCCTTCATCATCGTAGATCAGCAAACAGTCATTCACTTCCCGTTCATCCTCTTCCTCGGCATAGGCGAATGATTTCTAAAGATGGAGAAAGAGGAGAAACAATCTCACAAAGACCATCCCATTCTATTCATCAAGTCCAAGGCTGGAGTGTGGACCCCCACATTAGGTAATCCACACTGGTGATGAAAATGTTCTTCATTTTTAAATTTGATTATTTTTTTCCTCTGGATAGCTAAAATGTTTTCATTTATTTATTTCTATTGTTAGTATGTTTTTAGTTAGTGATCAATATAATAGGTTAGTGACATTCTCATAAATATATATCCTTGATCTTTGCTCATATTTAGACCCTCCTTTACCCATTCTTGCTCTTCCCTCCCTCCTGTTAGCCATTTTCCTTTCCCCAAATAGTCTCTCCTCAGCTTTCATGTGCTATATATGCATATATAGTTAAATACAGATGTTTGCAAATGAGAGAAAACATGGGGTAGCTTTTCTTCTCGTTACCATCCCATGTTCCCCCCGTCTCTCCTGTTCTTCTCCTTCCCTTCCAAGCAGTCCCCTCCTGCTTCCACGTATAGATAAAAATAAACCTAGACTCCACATATTAGAGAAAGCATGATGCTGGTCTTTCTGGGTCTGGCTTCAGGAAATCCTCTTTAACACTCTTGTTTGGGGAATTGACAGTATGGCTGACATTCCATTGAAGAGTCTAGCCTAGGCTTATCTTTTAGCTCTTGATTTTATCTGGGTTTCAGTCTCCATAGTAACTGAATATGCTGCCTGGAGTCTATCCCTGAACTGCTCCATCTTTTTGTGTTGGGGGAGGCGCAACTTTCCCAGCGTGCACTGAGACAGTTTTCACCCCAGTGAACTTTGCGCTAACTTTGTCTCCATCAGCTTGGCCTGTGAGTTTGAACTAGTGGCTCCATTTTGACAGCCCCAAGATGACCTGATTTATTTTGACAAGAGGAAGCTTTTCTTTCCTTCCACTAAAAAAAAAAAAAAATCTCAAAACTAACGTCTACAACCAAGCAACCAGACTTCCTGTGTAAAGGAGATAACCAACCCAGCCTGACAGGTGGCTACCCAGTTACCTGAGAAAAGTAGGAACCTAGGAAAGTCATGTTCACTGGTGCAGCGACAAAGTCCTTCAAGGTCCCTCCAGTGGAGTGCCTCGTTCTCATCGTCCCTGAATGACCCAAGGAGCAGGGGCCGAGCGTGGCTGCAGCGCCGGAGCCAGTGGCTGCTCCCAGCTTGGTCGTCATCTCCATCCCAGAAGCGCCTTCCGCCACAGTCCCGCCGGCGTATGTGTTCGTACAAACTTCTGAAGACAGAAGGGAGAGTTCTGAAATGCTCTGCGCTGTGATTTTTTCAAAGCTTCTGTGTGTATGCATATGTGTGTGTACATTTGTGTGCACGTTCATGCGTGTGTGCATGCCCGTGTGGCATGTGTGCACATGTGTGCGTGTGGAAGTCAGAAGTCAGTCTTGGGTGTTATTCTCAGGGCACCATCCCTCCTTTTTGAGTCAGGGTCTCTCACTGGTCTGGAACTTGCTGATTCAGTTAGGCTCTGTGACCAGTGAGCCCCAGGGAACTGCTCCCCGGCATGGGCCACCATGCTTAGCTTTTTCATGGATTCAGGTCCTCACCCTGGTATAGCAAGCACTTGACCGACTGAGCTCTCTTTTCAGTCCCTAAAATTCTTTCATCTTTGATGGACAGTTGCCATGTAAAGCAGCAATGTCAGGGAAAGCACAATGATGTGACCGGGGTCATAATATTCCAGGTTTATGTGAGAGTCACAGTGGAGGGACGTGGGCAGGCAGAAAAGCCATGAAAACGTGTCACTTAATGAAGAGTACAGGGGAAATAGACTGTCAGTGGCAAGAGCCAGAAACACAAAAGTGAAAAAATACAGTAGTCGGTGATCAGCCATAGAGAGCTTCTGACCTCACGTGTTCTCAGGTACAAGAACATTGCAATCAAACAGTCATAGGATTTCAGTATGGGAAATGAGGAGAGTCTCCATGATGTGACCTTGTAAAGTGACAGACAGTGTCCAAGGGAAATTTAAAGAAATTCCTATTTATTTCATCTTATGTATTGATAGATTATTTAAATTTATTTTTACTTTTTATTTATGTATGTGTGTGGATACGGACACATGTGTATGGGTGTTCACAGAAATTGTCACAGGATGTCAGGTCCCCTGCAACTGGAGTTTACAGGTGTTTAATAACCACCCAGTGTGGGTACCAGGAATTGATCCCCAGTTCTCTGGAGGATCAGCCAGCCCTCTAAACCACCTAAGCAGCACTCCAGCTCATCATGAGTTTGCTATATAATCACAATGGGAGAAGCAAGTATTTGAGAAGCTGTTAAAGGCTGTCACGTAGCTGGAGATAACTTGTGTAGATTCTTGCTAACTATAGAATTAAGAATAAAATTCCTATGAGTGCCAGGTGTTACTGATCACTAGTTTATAGTGTACTTCTGGTAATGAGACAACATGACTAAAATTGCCTTGGTAAATCCAAGGAAACAACAGATGCACTTATGTGCTTGCTTTAGGCTTCATGCCTCATGGTTACTGTACAGAACTAGTAACTGAACTCAAATCAGGACACAGTTGATGCTGTCACACCAGGAAGAGGGACAGAGTTGCAGATGCACACACACACACACACAGATGCACACACACACACACACACACACAGATGCACACACATGAGACTTGATGGGTAAGCATGACCTGACCTGAGCCAACAATAGACAGAGTCGGTGGTGGGTATGGCTACTGCTTACAATTTCATTTACAGTTTTCTATCACTGTAAAATATTTCATAATTAAATGTTATTAATTAGTGATTGGAGAGATGGCTTAGTGGTTAAGGCTGCTCTTCTAAAGGACAGGTTCAGTTACCAATACCCATATAGTGGCTCACAGCCATCTGTAACCCCAGTTCCAGGGGATCCTATACCCTCTTCTGACCTCTGTGAGCAGCAGGCATGCACGTGGTGCACAGATATACATGCAGGCAAAATACCTCTAAACAAAATAAGATAATAAATTAAAAGTACTTTAAAGTTAGTAATTAGTTGACTGAGAGCTATAGTTACTTTAATTCATTAAAGTTTGGAAAAAGCAAAAAAATAGTCTTTAGATTTTCAAAACAGCAACGTCAGTGAGTGAATTGACTCATGGAGGGCAGACCAGTGCCATGGAATTGGCTAGAACACAAAGAAATACAAAGCCAGCTTCTCATCTCAGTGGTGATATCTCTTATGTACATGCAGATGCAATTATTGATCATTTCTTAATTTTGACTAGTTCTCCTCTAATCCACCTTTGCTTTCAAAGATACATTTCAAAAGTAAATTTCAGCTCTCAGGAGGCTGAGGCAGGAGGATTTCAAGTTAAGACCTGCCCGGGAAATTAGTGAGACCCTGTCTTAAAAAAAAAAAACCCAAAAACACGAAAAAGGACAGGGGCTGTAGCTCAGTGGGAACACTTGCTTAGCATGCATGAAGCCCTGAGTTCGAATCCCAGTACAAATAGACAAGCAAATTGGATGTTTACTCACCAGAACTTTCCATAAAATCTGCTCCATTGGTTGTGGTAGGAGGCACACAAATATTTGTGATTTCCTGCAAATTGTGTTATAAGAAACACATGTTTCAGTGAAGTGCGGACCCTTGTAAGTGCTAACATTACAACTCTTCTAGGAACGGCTCTTTTTAGGACATGACTTCTATAAAGCTGGAGTCCTGAAAGTCCCAGCCACGACAGTCTGAACTCTCCACTTAGGACCAAGATGTCTCCTGCTATCCCTCTGTTCCCTTTCCTATTTCAGGAGAAACTGTTCCCCACCACATGACTACAGTAACTGCTCTGCAAACCTGCTCCTCACCTTGTCTTCAGGCTGGGCTCCCTCGATTCCCCACTGGTGGATCGTTCCTTCTGAACCATCAGGCACAGGGATAAAGCCACCTGTGGCGGCTCCTCCTCCGATGGGACCCGCCCCACAGTCACAGGTCAGCAGCAGCAGCGGGGCCACTGGGCAGGAACAAGGAAACAGAGAAGGCTTGAATCCGTTGGAAACTATATGGCATGGCAATTGTGAAAAGTGTTACAAAGGCAATACAGTGACTCAGACATTAAAGGAATATATTTAATGAAAGCAAAATTAGTGTCTAGAGAATATAATTTAGTGAGTGAAACACAGTAATTTTCTAATGATTATGAGCTGAAGGAGGCCAGGCCATTTCTTGGAAGGTTTGTTCAGTTTCTCAGTTCCTAACCATAATACACTATCATTACTACTACTAACTACTACTACTACTACTACTACTACTACTACTACTACTACTACTACTACTACTTACTGTATTTGTTTGTACATGTTGAGTGTATCCAGTGTGTCTGGTACATATATACACAATATGATACCTTCACAGCTAAGAGTTTAGGTAATTTTGATAATACTTGAGCACTCCGATCTTTAGTAAGAGCAGCTGACCAGCAAAGTGCAACAGCAACTAAAGGCAGTTTAATCAATGGCTGTCAGTGTGTGTGTGTGTGTGTGTGTGTGTGTGTGCGTGCGCGCGCGCCCGTGTGCGTGATGCATGTAAGGTCTGGAGGTATGCTGCAGTGCTGGGAATTGGAACTTGGTTTCCTCCAGAGCCTGTGTTCTTAATCTCAGAGCCATTTCCCCAGCCCCTGTAAGTGAACTTTTAATTGTGAATTGAGAGTCCTTAGCTTGGAGGATCTTCCAGCCATTGCATCACTCTTTCCACTAATGGGCTAAGGAATGTTCATTTAAAAATATTTACTTCATATGCATGGGTGCTGTGCCTGCATCTTTGTCTTCATACCATGTGCCTGCCTGGTGCATGCAGAAACTGGAGGAAAGTGTCAGATTCCCTAGAACTGGAGTTCCAGCAGCTGTTGGCTGCCATGTGGGTGCTACAATCCAAATCCCGGTCCTCTGGAAGAGCAGCCAGGGCTCTCAGCTGCTGATCCATCTCTCTAGCTCCAGAGGCACTTATTTTAGAAGTAGGTGTTTATTGTACTCCGAAGTCAATGCCTCCTCTCCATCTCTGTGCTATCAAGGCCACATGAACCCTAATGCTTGAACTGTCCACTTAGAAGTAGCTCCCTGGAGGGTTTCGGGAACACAGCCTCTAAATCAGACTTCTATGGTTTGAATTTTGGAGGCACTGCTTTTCAGCTCTGTGCTCCTGAGTATATCACATGATCTTTCTCTTTCTAAGTCATCCATTCAGAGGGGAACTGCCTTCATCATGGTTGTCTGATAAAAGGGAAAAAAGAGTAACGGGTGCTATGAAGACCTGCTAGTATTGCTAGAATGAACTACATAATTATGCAAATTAGATCAGTCATATATTAGCATAAAATTAGGTCAAGTTACAAAATAGATGGGATATAATTCGTACAGTATATTCAATTTTAATACAATGTTTATATGAATTGTATTTATTTGTATTTTCTTTAAAATATTTCATTTTTAATTCTGTTCACATGTGTATGTCTGTGTGTAGGTATATATACATGTCTCTGAAGGCAAGGACCTCTTTGGTTCCCCTGGAGCTGTAGTTATGGGGAGTTGTGAGCCCCCCAAAGTGTGTATTGGGAACTGAACTCAGCTCTTCTATAAGAGCTCTGTGCTAATGATCACTGAGGCACCACTCTACCCCAAAAATCATATTTCTAAAGACAGTTGAAGTAGAATATACATACATGTCATGAAAATTTGCTTTACCATTATTATTTTATGATTCAGTAGTAAACTAAGGAATTATTGTGAATTTATTAAAAATCTATTGTTTATCCAACTCCTTTCAAAATCCTGTAAGTAGAGAACTTTCATATTCAGAGCATCATTTGATTAATGAGATTTTGATTAAAATGAAAATTCCCAGAAATCTATCTATTGAATAACATAAAATGCACATTTATTAAAAGACAGTCAGGCATGTAGTTTCCCTAAATGTCTTTACTATTATGTGTGAACATTAAAAAGTTTTTTAAAGATTTATTTTATGTGTATGAGTGTGTTCTACATGGGTGTCTGGGAGTTATGGGTGGTTGTGAGCCACCATGTGGGTGCTAGGAATCCGAACCAGGTCCTGTTGGGGACTCCTAACTGCTGAGCCATTGCTACGGCCCAGGTATGAACATTTTAAAGGGGTGCACGTGAGGGGTAAGCTCTGTTTTGAGGTAAATTCTCAGTGCTCAAGTTCTGTTAATATGGATCCTAGCTGACCTCTCCAACATTATTTGACCAGCATTCTTTTTAGGGCTCATGAAACTCGTATGTGGATCTGAGATGTGTGAGTGCATCTTAGAAAGTCATGCTTTATTCATGCTTATAAATAAAGGCATGATTTGACTCTGAATATAATTGACTGAATGTAGAGTATCTTTATAATTTCTTTTCCTCAGTCTTGTCCCCCATCCCCTGTGTGCGTGGAATGTGCTTACGGGCACACACCTGTATGAGTGTGCTTATGGAGGCCAGGGGGCATCTTGAATGTCGTTCCTTTGGTGTCTTCCTGTTTCTGTTTGGGACAGGGTCTCTCAATCACCCAAGCTTTGCTAAGTACGCTAGGCTAGCTGGCCAGTGAGTTCTAGGAATCAGGTGTCTCTTCCTCCCATCCCGCTATGGCGGGGATTGCAAGCATTCGCTAGTGCACCTGGCTTTTTAGGTGGACACTGGGATTAAACTCAGATCCTCATGCTTGTGAGGCAAACACTTTACCGATGGAAGCCATCTCCCTAGCCCTGTTTTTTTTTTTTTTTTAAATGTTTGCATTATGATTTGCTTTACTGTATGTAAATTGTTGCTAAGTGATAAGCTAAACACATTTCAGATTTTTCTAGCAGTTTCCTTCAGTTTTACCAGTTAAGTGATTATAGAATGACGCTTCTCACACTATACAAACGAGCACAATGGCTCTTGTAAATGATGTCACTGCCATGGACTCCGAAGGGAACACTGGCTTACTCACACAGCAACATCAGGAGTCCTAGCAGGATCAATCCGATGGCAGCAGGCCCCAGCCCCCAGGATGACTCCCTGTATAAAATGGGTTCTCTGCTCGGGTTAGGAGATCTGCACAGGTTCCGGTCATCACACTGACACACGGTCAGAGTCAGGATCTCTGGTGTGTCACACTGCCCGCCCTCATTGTCCTTCACGATGACTGGGACACTGTACACTCCTGGAGACACCTGCTGTTGGGCTTGTAGACGCGCTGAGGTAGCTATAAAAAAAAGCACAAATTACCAGTGAGGCTAGGCATCACTTGCTCTCACAGCTTCTTGTTTTTGATAATGGTGCTAGAATTGTCTTTGAATCATGGTCACAAAGAGCAGGTCTTCTGTGGTTGGAGCAGTGCTGAGTAGTGGAAGAGGTTTGATGGGGTCAGTCTGCCTACCAGGAATGTCTAGTCCATGGCATGTTGGTCACATGTGGCCCAAAATAGCTGCAGATGCAGTCCAACACAAAATTGTAAAAGCTTACAGGCACATGGCCTCATGTATGCCTTCACACTCTGATCCCATGTCCGACTCATTGAAACCCACTTTAAGCTTTGGGGGTGCTCTCTCATCTCACTCCAGAGTGGAGAGCCTGGGTGATAGGGTTCCTGGTGGTGGGGCCCATTGCCTATTAGACAACTGAGCATCACTTGTTCTTGGCTCCCCATTTCTATACCACCTCTTTCTAAGTGGGGATCTGGGCAGTGTTGTAGTGTTTGAGTTATTCTGGAATCCACAGTACCCTTGACATTGTGCCATGGCTACCCAGTTTGTGTTGTCCAACCCAACTCAATTCAATCACCCCCCAACCTGCTACCCCCAAGAATTGACCCTGGAACCTTGTGAATACTAGGCATGTGCAGTATCACTGAGCAATATTCCCAGCTGTCTGTTCATTGACCACGTATCTATCTGGTAAACTCATTTGGAGACCAATGGTGCACGTGAAGTTTGGAGCTATTCCTTTAAATAAGATCAGAATGCCAAGGGTGAAAGGTCATGCAGAGCAAAATTTCTTTGGTGTCTGTGGTCATGACTAATGTATGACTGCAGGATACCATGGAGTACATCCACGAAAGGAAGCAAGATTTGTACAGAAAACAGTAAAGGAAAGTGCGTTCACAGAGGATTAGCAGTGTCTTGGTCATTGTACAGTCCAGAAAGGGAGGAGATTTCTATTGTCTATGAGACTTTTGAAAAACACAGAAATATATAATAAACATGATATGCTTTAAGAGGAAATGATTCCTTTTTTTCATTGACTAGTGGGTTTGCAGATGTCAGTCTATCGCGCTCTCAAGGTTGCCTCTTACCTGGCATGCTCCAGCCCTGGCTGGGCTGCACACAGGGACCCTATCTCAAACAATGATACTAACAAATGCAGAAAACAGCAAATGGTGCTAGAATTCATATAATTTCTCTTCCCTTCAGAGGAGACCAGGCTCATATCTTGGTTTCAAATGAATGTTTTCAGTTTTTCTTAGAAAGGACCCCTGTCAAAAGGGTTCATGTTCCTCTGGAAACTAAAGCCGCTGCGGCTCAGCCACGGAAGCAAGCTTCCTCTGACTCACCGTTCACCGTTCTGATGTTCCACATGACGGGCAGTTTCAGGGGCTGCTCCTCCAGAGACACTGTGTAGGGGCCGGTGTATCTGCCCCTCTCCAGGGTCCTCACCGAGACGAGCACAGACGGTGAGGAGCTGCAGATCTCTTCCTTCTCGAGGACAACTGATGGACAGTTTTCACTAAAACTGGGCACTTCCACAAGCACTGTGCCTGTAGATGTCTTACCAGTGTTTTCTGTAAGAAGAATAAAGAAATACAGAGAGTAGATTTGTACAAAAACGACCCTTCATGCTCCCATCTCTCTCTCTCTCTCTCTCTCTCTCTCTCTCTCTCTCTCTC